AAATGTGTAAAAGTAAACACCTTATTTATGTATTCTTCCCTTATATCTATTCTGATCTGTACCACCTTTGCGAACATTGTGTGGTTATGGCCCATGGTGGGTGAAGCTCAAAAAAGTGGGCCCACTTAAGGTCTCCTGTGAGTTCCATCAGACCCGAATATTCTCTGGGTTCCCGCGAAGATCCGATAGATCCAATAGCATATTCGAATAATCCATAACCAATAATTCTCCTCTTAACCAAGTGACAGAGAAATCAGAGCCAAGTGTTGATAATAATTAATATTTTAAAATATAATCTTGAAATTCATTGAGCGAAGAAGAATAGCTCGATCCATTTATACCTCAAACGAGCCTTCAAAATTCAAAAGTAACGTTATTAAATGTGTCGCCATCTTACACGATATGATACTAATAAAACACTCGACCTTTCAAGATGAATCCAAGTAATTTTGTAACCTAAGTCTGTATAGCATTAAAACTTTTTGAATCTTGCTACACACAGAGAAAAATTCATTGGACAATTTGAATTTAAAAAAGAAAAGGCCACACTTGTGCGACATGACATGCAGCAACTGTCATCCAATCCTTTTATGTGTAACTGCACTTCTCTCGCTTGACCACCACTTCTTTCCCTCTATATATATGTGCGTGCGCTATGTAACTACACTTTCATAAAAAACCAAGTTCTAATAAGCAATTAGTAAAAGAAGTTACTTTCTATTTATCTATTAATTTGATTCCTCATCTTTGATTTTCCTTTTTGTTTCACAGAGCCATGGCTAGTTTATACAACAAAACCATGGTTCTGTGCCTTTGGTTAGCGATCAATTTTCTGGCAACATTTTCTTCAGAGCTTCCTCGATTTGAACACCCGATTAGAGGCGATCAGAGGCTCAAATTCTTGGTTGTTGGAGATTGGGGAAGAAACGGAGCCTTTAATCAATCAGAAGTTGCTTTTCAGGTACATGAAATCTTCCTGAAGTTTCAAGATGGATCGGTCTAGTCGATATTGATACGTTTCTTTTTGCAGATGGGAAGAATTGGAGAGGAATTAGATATAGATTTTGTGGTGTCAACTGGTGATAATTTTTATGATAATGGATTGAAGGAGGAGCATGATCCAGCATTTTTAGATTCATTTACTAATATTTATACAGCAAAGAGCCTGCAAAAACAGTGGTACAGTGGTGAGTATTATAATTTATATTTAACTAAGATCGTGGCTCGTTTCAGAATATCAATTTTGAAATGTGCGTGCACTGGTTTGAATTTTACTTACTTTTCTGTGCAGTTTTAGGGAACCATGATTATAGAGGTGATGTATTGGCACAATTGAGCCCAGCCCTTAGGAAAGTAGACAATAGATGGCTTTGCTTAAGGTCTTTTGTACTCGATGCAGGTAATTTTTTGGGTCGATCAGTACACGATAGAATTAATGACGTAATCTCCAATTTTGTGCACCAAACGTGCCCTGAAAGTTGTTTTTTGTTTTTTCAGAAATTGCTGAATTGTTCTTTGTGGATACGAGTCCTTTTGTGAAGGATTATTTTACAATTCCAAATGAACACACTTATGATTGGCGTGGTGTGACACCAGTGAAGACCTATACTGAAAATGTATTAAAAGTAAGTGAATTGATTTTTTTAATTTTTTTTGTAATTATTGATTATTAATTAATATTGTATATATTGAGACCGGTGTCAAGACGGACGGACCGACAAGACCCGTGAAAATCGGCCCGGATCGACCCGTTACTGAGGGCCGACCCGTGATCCGAGCGGGCGGTTCACAGGTCAAGGAGGTGTGACCCGCGGGTTGCACCTTCACGGGCCGCGGTTAACCCATTGGCAAGTGAAAAAAAATTTCAAAAAAGGGGGAGAGAGCCGTTATGCATTAGAAATATATGATAATAATAATTAGAAATACATTTAGTTGTTATTTGTTTTAAGTTAAATTTGACTTTGTAAAGTTATAAATAATTCGTGTAATATTAATTTCGAATTCTATGTAAACATTTCTTGGGATAAATATGAATTTATCATTTTGTTCAATTCTTAGTTTACATTTAACAAAAAAAATACTTTTTACAAAAATTCTATATTTTTATATTTTATTTATATAATAATACGGGTCAAATCGGAACAAATCGCGACCCGTGACCCACATTGGCTCAATCCGAATGGGTCAACGAGCGGGCTTGAGTTGTAGTCCAAAATTTGTGGGCCGGCCCGGAACCCGTAGCGGACGGGTTTTTTTCACGCGGGCCATTATCGGGCTTATATGTTGGTGGGCCGACTCGATCCGGACCACCCAAATTGACACCTCTAAGTAAATTGAGATTTTTTAATCATAGCAGATCTCCTGATGGGATGGAATGGGATGTGATGAGATAGTAATAAGTCTCTAACGGACTCACTCATTGTCACCTCTAAATAGTCATGTTGTAGTCATAGAAATTAGGACAGAGATGACTTTTTGAACACCACACGGACGTGTGGACCCTCAGCTATCAACTAGAGAGTGAAGAATTGTAAACATTTTCAACTTCAATTATGACAACTTTATTTCTGGGGTAATGTTGTCTTTATAAAGAGCATATTTATTTTGCAAAATATAAGCCACGTAGATAAGGTCCTTGTTTTGTGGGGAGTTAATTTTTTTTTTTTAAGAAATTTTGATAAAAAATATAATTAAAATTAATTATTGATTTTGACCGAGATTAAACTAGAAACATGGGCAAGATTTACTTTTTCATTTTGCATAAAGGACTTTGTTATTTGTACACTGATTTTAAGTAATATTATTTGTACTGAAAACTATCGGTAGCCTTTTTACGTGACATATATGTAACAATTTGTGATTTGATGCACAAACAAATAAAAAACTACTACATCAGTGCACCAAATCACAAATCGGGAACATATATGCCGCGTAGAAAGAATGCCAATAATTTTCATTGCAAATAACATTATTCCTGATTTTTTACACTTTTGTTGACACTTTTATTGTTGTCAAATGTCAATTGGATGAAAAACTGTTTAAAATTTAAACTGTCCAATTGTTTAATATTACATCGCAAATTGTACATGTAGCATTATTTTCAAACTCATTTCTAGTTACATATTTTTTTAAAAAATATTATTTCAAAATTTATTTTCCTAAAAAAAAAAAAA